CTGATGTTATAAAAACAATCAGGACTACAAATGAATGCTTTATACCATTAAAAATGCCTGCAACAAATCTATTGGAAAAGGCAAAAATTAACTCATAAACTACACAAATGTTATCAGAAACAAAGAACTCTTGTAGATATTGCTCCAGCATTGTGACTGGGAGGAAAAAGTCCTTGAGAAGTCTGACACTATTAAAATAATATTTGTAAAATTCCTGAATATATCTTTTTCTTAACAGTTTTTACAGCAGAGGAAATTTACTTGCACATAAGTTATTTTAACACTCTTAATCACAAAATATACTTGAGCCTTTTGCTGTATATACCATCTTCTTCAAGGAATTATTGTACTCTTGTAATTCCCGAGGGCCGTGATTAGTTCCATTTTAGGATTTTGTATAATATACTGCCCTGTGGTACCTACTCAACCAAAGGTGTCATACAGACAATTATTACAGTATCTAGAAAGAACATTACATTCTTTGTTGTTTAATGTTTCAGAATATGTTACTTAAAGAAATTAGTAGAAGTCCACAGCTCATGCCTCTTTTTGCTTTTATGGTATATTGCGATAATTAAAGAAACATGCAAATGCTTTTAGGAGCAATGAACTCTTCCAACCTCTAATCCTGGTGCAGTGGCTGAGATTTATTCTTTATTCATTTGTATGCACATGACAATTCAGCAAGGCTCAAGTACTGACTCTACCAATTTTATACGATACGCCTTATGATTTCCTTGATAACTCTCAATTATACTCTCTTCTCCGCCTGACCTCAGAAACTTTCTTCTTCTTCGGCATGAAACTTTAGCCTCTGCCGTTCTAATGTCACTGGTCAGGTGCTACTCTTACAGGTACTTTGGAAATTCTCAGTGGTAAAAGAGTAAACCCAAAAGCCTCCCCCTCCCACGTCCTCCCCCGACCCTTGTTACGAATTTCACAAGATTTGATCCGATATCTGTTTCTAGATTCTCCTTCACTCCTGACAGAGACTCTTGCCAGCACTGATCCTGACTGCAACATGGAATACTACAGCACAGACTGTTTAGGAAAGTCATTTACAGGAAAAGTAGGCAGACAATTAACTTAAATGGCATAACAAATATGGACAACATTGCTACACATTAATAGTGACAATATGCTGGAACATACCAGTGTTTAGGATTAAATTAAAATAGTAATGGACAGATTGTCTCTACCAGCACCATCCTGTGCATAGCGTAGCACACAGCTGTGCCACGCTGAGAGGAGCTTCAGGAGAGAACCATAACCAAAGACCCAGCAGCTTTCATTCTTCCCTTTTTTGCTTCCAAGGGAAACAACCTACGGTCTTTCACTCCGAGCAAAAGATGTATTTTCCTTTCATGGATTATCTGGTTTGCTTCACTTAATCTATGCTCTTCCTGAGTCTCACTGTCCAGAAAGTAGGAGCTGCTGAGATGAGGAAGACATTCAGAGCACTCTTTTCCATCTCAGAGCTTGCCTAGATGCATTTGGATGGACCACAGGATGACCCAGTATCTTGAAAGGCAAAATTTTGCTACCCTTAAAATGATAAAAGATATTTCCTGAGTGCATTGATGATAACTTCCTTGCAAAGGTGATCAAGAAGCTGACAAGGGGAGATGCTCTTCTGCATCTGATACTTACAAATGGGAAAGAACTTGGCTGCAGTGACCATGAGACAGTAAAATTAGGACAAAATAGCAGAATCACAATCCTAGACCTAATGAGAGCAGACATTGACCTGTTCAGAGGTCACAGGGATCAGCTTGGAAGGATCCCATGGGATATAGTACTGAAGAGGAGTCCAGAAGAGTTGTTTGATTTTCAAGGTTCCCTACCTAAAGGCTTAAGAACAGCCCATCCTGACAGTAGGAAGTCCAACAAGAGTGGCAGAAAACCTGTGTGGATGAACAAGGTGCTCTTGCTAAACTCAGATATAAAAAGTAAGTGTACAAGAGATGGGAACTAGGGCAGGAGACCCAGGAAGAATATAGAGTCACTGTCTGAACACACAAGGAGGAGTACCTGGGGAAATACAGGTTGTTCAGCCTCACCTCAATACCAGAGAATCATAGAATTGTCTAGGTTGGAAGGGACCTTTAAGATCATCTAGTCCAACCATCAACCTAACTGATAAAAATCATCACTAAACCATGTCTCTAAGCACTATGTCAACCCGTCTTTTAAATATCTCTAGGGATGGTGCCTCAACCACTTCCCTGGGCAGCCCATTCCAATGCTTAATAACCCTTCCAGTGTAAAAATTTTTCATAATATCCAGCCTGAACCTCCCCTGGTGCAACTTGAGGCCATTTCCTCTTGTCCTATCACCTGTGACTTGGGAAAAAAGACTGACACTTGCCTCTCAACAACCTCCTTTCAGGTAGTTGTAGAGAGCAATAAGATCTCCTATAAGGTCTCCCTTCAGCCTCCTTTGCTCCAGGCTGAGAAGGTGCTGAAGCAAACAATTCTGGTGGACAAGTTGGTCATAAGCCAGTAATAAGTTTGGGATTCCTCACCCTCCTGTATTTCACATGGATTTTATGTGTTGCCACTTAGGCAGATTTTGTAAATTATGGTTGTATACCTGGATATTAGAGAAATTCTTCTAAACTACTTTGGGTTTTGATGGTCCAGAATTGCAAAGCACTGTAAAAATTCATCATCATTGCTGTTGTGCTGATTTTTGTCCCCTGAATCTTTCAAGATTTTCAAAACAATGCAGCTATTCTTGTTTAGAGCCACCCACGTCTTATTTCCTACATTTGCCTGGCCAAACACATTGGTGACTCAAATGAGTAGCTCTCATTCACTTTACTGTCCCATTGGACTCAAAGGTGCTACTTCTATGAGCAGGTACTTTTCAATATGAGTACATGTTGCAGAAGCTGGAAAAAATATATATTATTTTCTGTAGTCTTTCACTTCATAGATTCACCTCTTACTTTCTCCTAGTCTAAGTTGTTTGGCCTCTTTTTATTTCCTGCCCTTTCCCTTTTCTCCCCAAAACAAATACAACATTTCTTCTCTTATGGCTGATTATCTTTTAACAAAGAGCATTATGTCACCAGGAGAGGCCTAGATTTTTTTAAACAAGTTGCAATAAAATGCAGAAGAAGAAAATAAGGGAAAAAAACACCTAAACTCCAATACTTTCAATTTATTATTTTGAAACTGAGTTTTATAATCAGGAGAGCAGTAAGTGACATGGTATTCCGCATTGCTTCTATGCAAATCAATGAAAAAATGATTAGTTGGGGACAATTTTATTGATTTTAAAATAGGTTTTAAAAGAAATTCGATTCCACTGACGGTTTAAAAAATTAATCATATATGATTTTATATGTTCAATGTTGAAGTAAAAAGGCATGTATTTCTTCCCCAATGTACCATCATACAACTTGCAGTGCCTTCTGTGCTATAGAAAGTTAAACTTGTGCATCTGTCTAAGATGAATGAAATGCTATATATGGTCAACTCACCTTCATGGTTAATAGCAACTGTTCTTTAAAAAGATACTTAGAGATGAATTGAAGCAGTTGCCTTTCAGCCTCCTAGGAATAATGAGTATCAATTTTATGTACAAAACCACGGTATGTGCTCAGAACGATGCCTCAGAAGAACAATCACTGTTTGAAATTGGACATAAGAAGAGTAATTTTTTGAGTCACACTGCTTAGCAATCTGCAAATCATTTAATTCCATTGCCAGTATGACCAGGTAGGAAAGAAGGCAAACCAGCATAAGGGCAAAAGAGGAGCTGTTAAGATGCTGCGCTGAAAAGAGATTGAGCATTTTGCATTTTGTGATACAGGACTAATGGTGATTGACAACTTCTGCACATAAGGTATCACTTGAAGAAGAATTTCAGAAGGGTGAACTATGATCCTGTCAGCGTTTTCAGGAAATCAAAATATAAATATACTGAAATACACACAGACATCAACTAAGGTGCAAAATTATAAATATTAAACCCAATTTTTAGTGGTTTTGCTCTCCCTCCTCCCCCCGATCAATTTTGCTTTATCCTTTCCTTTACATATGTTTTCCTCCTTCTAAAATTCCATATTCTTTCTGAAGATGGACATGAAACATTTCGGTGTGGCCTTTCCTTCTCCCAAGCGTTTTCTCCTTCTTCTTATCCTATTTTTTTAATGCATAAATTATGTCACATCCCTTCATCTCCCCCCACCCCTTTCCTTTTTGGCTCTCTTGGGATTTAGAATGAGCAGCCACCTCCGGTCTCCCTGCTCCTCAAACTGGTCAGGAGAATAAATGAAGGAAATACCAGTCCCTGGGCCCTGACCCTGGTGTTTAAAGAAGAAAGTTAAAAAGTTTATCAAGAAGTTTCAGCTGGGACATGGTTGAGGCACCGGGGAATGTATCTAACTTTGAATAGGGTGTGAAATAAGACAAGGTGCCTTCCGTGCTCTTCTGCAGTCGTGACTTGGATGTAAAGTAGCAAAAACCAGAACTTCTGGGGCAAATGGCAGCCAAGAGCGTACCCCAAACGAACCGTGGGTATGTAGAATGCTAAAATACACCCCCTTTGTGAATAATGAGCATGCTAATCAGCTAACCTCCCTAATTGTTTTAAATGTGAATTTAGATGCAAGTATCTAGTTAGGAGGGGTGAATGAATTGACCAATCAGCTGTATTTTATCCTTATTAATACTGGGCGCTTGGAAGCGTGAGGGGCGTTCGCTGCTGTTAAACCTCTTGCCCCAAGCTCTGCAGATTTGATATAAAAACAAATATCCGGACTCTGATCGTCTCTCCCACACCGGGGAAAGCACCCCCATTCACAGACACCAGTCCGGAGCTGTTAGGCTGGGAGAGCACCCCTCAGCGACCGCCTCCTTCCCCGCCGTCATAGTGCCATCAGCCTCCCCACCGCCCTTCCCTCAGAGCTGACGAGGAGGGGGGGACCTCGGCGGCAACGCCGGGCTCCTCGGGCGAGGGCGACCACGGGGTTGCAAGAGGCCTTGACAGCCGACCACCGCCGCCGCCGGCAGGTTCCAGCACCACCCGTCCCCTCGCACCGCCCGTCCCCTCACACCGCCGGGGCCTTCCCCGCCTCCGGAGGGGAGGCGCTCCGGAGCCCGTCTTTCCAACTGGTTTGTCCCTCCGGCCGACCTGTAGCGCTTTCCTCTTCCCCTCCCTCCATCATGGAAGGAGCAGCGGCCTCCTCCGAGGGCCTGCGCTATGCCGAGTACGCCAGGGTCCCTGCAGGCGCCGGCAAGGGCCAAGCCGAGCTGGACCGAGGGCTGGTGAGCGGCTTTCGCAGCCCCGCGGGGTAACGCCTGTGGGGCAGCAGGTCGGGGGAGGGGGTTGCGGGGTCGGGCAGGGAGGTGGGCGCGGTGGTGCCCGTGGGGAGATGGCTTGTGTCCCCTCGCCTCAGGGCCTGCGTGGCCCTGGTGGAGCTGCATCAGGGTACAGGGGAGCGCTGGGCCGCCTCGGCCTTCGCGGTCACAGAAACTATAGGATGGTTTGGGTTGGAAGGGACCTCAAAGATCATCGAGTTCCAACCCCCCTGCCATGGGCAGGGACACCTTCACTAGAGCAGGTTGCTCAAAGCCCCATCCAGCCTGGTCTTGAACACCTCCAGGGATGGGGCACCCAGAGCATCCCTGGGCAACCTGTTCCAGTGTCTCACCACCCTCACAGTAAAGAATTTCTTCCTGAGATCTAATCTAAATCTCCCCTCTTTCAGTTTAAAACCATTACCCCTTGTCTTATTGCTACACTCCCTGATCAAGAGTCCCTCCCCATCTCTCCTGGAGGCCCCCTTTAGGTGCTGGAAGGCCTCAATAAGATCTCTCTGGAGCCTTCTCCAGGTTGAACAATACCAGTTCTCTCAGTCATGAGTAGTCAAGGCCTAAAATTTCATCCTCTTGCTGTAAAGAGATGATATATGTGAAATTTCTACAAACTGTATGAGTTTTATTAGTGCAGGCTTGAGCATCAGTGGTTTTGTAGAGCTCCATTTCAGAGGAGTACTTTTCAGCTGACAGTTTGTCACGTGTGAGAGGTTGGATGGACCTGAAGCAGGGGCAAAATGCCCCCAAGGTTTCCAGTGCCTCACCGTGCTCTGCTGTGAAGGGTGCTGGGACTTCACCCCACTCCTTCATTCTGCTCACTTCGACTAGTTTGTGGGACAGTGAGTTCTCTTTGGAAAAAAGTTGGGAAAAATGCATGGATTCCTGCTTAAAGCACTGGAGGGTGAATATTTCATGGCTTTAAATATGTATTTGCCATAATGTATTGTATGCATACTGTTGCCTCTACAACATTTCTTTTTTCTTAAAAAAAGGTGATTTTTAAAATCATAGTTTTTCTAACTTATTCATTATTACTACAGTCTAGGACTGTTTTGGTTTTTTTTATTCCCATAGAGTCTTTCTGTGTATTTAACAGCAACCTGTGTAATTTTAAGTAGTTTTCTCTGAAACTTGTTATTGTCACATCCATGTACTCTCCCTGTGGAGTGCCAGCAAGGAAGTTCCTAGTGAATTTTGTGGAGCTTTTGAGTCTTCTAGTCTGTCTGGGGTTATAGGGCTTGCTTTGTTGGTGTAAGTTCTTTTATCATGTGGTCACTCTAGGTCCAGAGACTCTGGTAGGTTTTTAGAGCACTAGATTATGGATAGCTGCATATTTCTATTGAACTTTATTCTTTAGCCAGGTCTTTCAGTGGAGAATGGAATATTTTTCATATTTTTACAACGCATATGTATATTGTAAACTGTTAGCGTATGGTTGGCAGTAGAAGCTGTTTCAGAGTTTCTGTAGATGGGTGTAATGTGGGTAGTTAGCAGAAAACGGGGCAGTACCCATGCTTATTGGATTCCCGGCTAAGAAGAAGGAGGTCAAGCTGTGTATAATCAAATTCTAAATTTTTTTGCCAGAGAGAAATGGTAAGATCAACTATAGTGCTGCACATCCTTTCCTCTGACATTGTACGGGGTTAACGAGGCCTTCTTGCCACAGTGGATGGAAAGAGTAGCAGGAGAAGGAAAGTCTTAACAGCAGCATCCATCTCTCAGGGCTGAAAAAGGTCTGTTCGCTATCCTACCATGAATCTTGGTGGTGAGATGTCCCAGATGTTAGCTGTAGTCACTTGATCTTGGTCGCTTTTACTCCTGTAGTTGTTTTATAAAAGCGTTTGGAGCAACAGAAGAACAACAATAGAAACATAAAGAGTCTATTCTCAAAGATACCTGCAAGAAGCCTGTATTAATTAATAGATACTCAAGAAGTTTGATTTGAACGCCTTATGGTAACGCTTCTATTAGTGAATCTGTTGCTCAGACACCATTTCCTATGAAAAACTGTCGGAAACTTCAGGCATAGTTTTATTTGCAAACCAAAAAAAGTTGCTGTAAAATAAATGACATAAATTGACATGAGAATTGTGTGAATATGGAGAACAGCATCTAGCTGAAATGACTTTTAATTCACTATTGGAAAATAAATTAGATTTCATAGGAAGGTGAGACTGGAAGGAAAACATTAGATTATGAAATCCAATCTGTTGCAGATAGTCTATATTATTGTCCCACTTCAAAATGTCTCTCTCTCCATTCAGAATTAATTAGGTGGTTTGCTCTGAAACAGTCTTCTAATAAGCTGTAGAACATATTCTTCTGAGTAACAGAAGCCTTCTTTAGCATCTATACCAAACAATCATTTATTTCAGGTGAAGAATTTTTATTAGGGAAAAAGTAGTTTCAGAAATATTTTTGTACATTTGGTTAATATACTTACAAATCCTGTTTATTAGCAGCATATAGCACTGAAAAAAAACAACAAACCTTCCTAAACCAAAGTTTTTAGCTAAGCAAGCCATTTACACTTGTGTAGTTATTTCAGTGTAAGTACATACTTCCTATATTACTAATCCGTGATATTTAGCATGGACCAATAACAAAATGCTATTCAACCCATCAGAAAAAATGATTATTTTCTCTGTGCTTTTTATTCCATTACACTGTAGCTTTCTGAGGCAAAAGACAAATAAAACTCCTGCTATGTGCCTGAAAGCTAGTTGGGAGAAGAGCAAAGTATTTTCTGTTTGACTGAGAAGGATGGTTTCACTGATTAAAATAACCAGTGTATAAATACAAACCCTATGCAAGCAGGTATATTTTAACATTCTTAAAGGTCATTCTTGTAGCCTCTGGTCAGATGAAATAGCATTGCACTGAAATTTTTAAACCATGCATTTGGAATTATTCTTAAATGTATAAATTTAACTTTTTTCTATTTCATAGAAGGAGAAGCTGCAATGCTTGGAATTACAGAAGTTGTTCTATATTACTGTTTTTTAGGCAGAGACTGCGCATTAGGAATCTGCAGAAAGAATATCTCATTCTTCCCTGTTTCTAAAAAATGAATGCCACTGGGAAGTTATGTATTAAACAATTAGGCCACAGATCTCTGTATGTTAACGGTATATGATGTATACGCCTCTACACATACTGTATGTTAATTAATGTGGTTTATCTTCTTGTTTGCCAAACACTTTGGTAAGCCAGGTCTTGCAGTTGCCTTTCTGATGTACGCATTTTCTTACATTTTTGAAAAGAATTTTTTTAAAAACCAGGTTTTGCAGATCTAGCAAAATTTTGTTTCATTGTTTCCTGTATCTAAGAGGATTTGTTACTGAACTACATAGTAAAATTAAAATACTGAGATCAGCAGAATAGCATAGAGTTGATGACTAACCTTTGGGAGCTGATTCATTGAATAAAGAAAGGGACAGATGTTACTTTTAAATCTTTTATTTCTTTATTTTCCCTCTTGGATCTTAATAGAATGCTTTAATTTAAAACATAAACCTTAGACATTTCTTAGCGGCATTTTTTGGACAGGGGGAAGATCAAGTCTGTCATAATTGAAAGTCAGTATTTATTTATTTAATTTTTTAGCCTTTATTAGTCTGAAATACAACGCATTTTCAAGCGATGGGAGCCAAAAATGTCCATGGTAGTAGTTGTATGAGCATGCCTTAAGTGAACTGATCCATCCTTCAGGGATAGCGAGTTGGTTTCATTTAATACCATCACGAGAGGAGTGCATTTAATTAGATCTTTGCACTTTATATTCTACATTTCAAAGCACCAGACTAACCTTGACTTATTGTTCTAGTCAACTGAGTTCAGTAAGCGTGGAAAAGAAAACCGAGTCAAGCTGGACTTAAAGCACTTAACTGCTTAGTGCTTGAAGATGCCACTAATTTTATGACAGAGGCTGTGTTAGTAAAAGACAGTCCATGCAATCTTTCTTACATTGATTCAAATTCAGTTTTTATCGCGTTTTTATAATTAGGCTATATTCACACCATAACAGACATTCAAGGTGCTTTGCCACGACAGGTTACCACTTCTTGACTAGTAAGTGACAAGTGACTCTTCACTAACCTGCTCGTAATGGAAATAAGGTGAGTCACCATACACCAGTAATTCTCAGCTTTTCTGGTGGTACTACCTCACTTCAAAATGTGGACAATATGACCTGGCTCTGGGTTGAGCTTCCCATCACTTGTGTTCATGCTCCTGTTGATCCTGTGTACTGCTCCTGTTGTGGAGCTGCTGCCATGCTTCTTTTTTACCTGATGGCTTTCCACTAATAGCTAGTGCTTTCCACTGAGATTGAAATAATGCATCCCAGTGGGCATGGCTGACTCTGTCGAAGGCCTTCAGGGGTCTCTACCCCTGTGCAAAAACATTTAAGCTATTTCTGCACTGAACTGGCACAGTCCAGGTATCATTTATTAGCCCGATCTCTGTGTTTGGCCTCACCTGTGATGAGGTGTCTGCTGCTAATGCCGTGTTATAACCTGCATTCCTGGTTGTAAACTGCTGTTTTAAACCACCTTTTTGCTGGCAAAGCAGGTATAACTTAATTTTGACAAGCACAAGCTAATAAATATTATTTTTTTTTGCTAGTGTGATCTATTTCATACATTGTTAAGCTCTTAATTGACTGTAACCACTTAGTAAACCACTTAGTAAAAAGATTCTTGCTGTCAGTCTGAATAAGTCAAGGAAAATCTCTATTGAATATAAATCCATGGTCACAAACCACAGAACAGAATGATACAGGCTTTCTGTAGGGCTATGATATTTTCAGAAATGTTGTGGCTGTTTCTGGTTAGTGTCTTAACAGAGGAATTGGAAGAAGTTTTTAGAATGTTTTGAGTATTGAGAGCCTGGGAAAACTGATTTGTGAGAAGAAATAGAGTTTTAGTTTAGTGAGGAGATGAACAATATGCTTCTCTATTTTATGTCCTCTACCATTTAAGGTAGCATACTTACTTTTTTCATGGTCTAAAGATGAAGGGAAATCTTGTGGAACTGAAAGGAACAACAGACATAAAACTACTACATTATTTTTACATTCAGAAATGAATGCTAATATTGAGACTAAAGACTACACTGAGATGAAAGAGTTAGGATACTAAAATGGGATAGAGAGGCAGAGTTTCAAGGCCAGAACTCCCCCAGTCTTAACTTTGGAGCTCCTCTTTCTGTCTGGTTAATGAGTTTCTTTTTTTCTAGAAACCTCTAGGCAACTGCAGTGTTATGTTGTGCAGTGTTGTAGCCCCTACTAAGCCAACTCCTTAAGACTTTAAAACCATTTTTTTCCAACTCTTAGTAGCAAAGGCAGCTTGGCTCCAAATCCAGTTATTAGGACAGTCGCATTGAAATTCGGGCTTTAAGTCCTGCCGTCAGGCTTGTTGTTAGAAAATGTGTTAAATGTATGAGGGGAAGAGTTGGAAAAAGTTGGATAAATGCAGAAGTCAGTTCACATATAGAAGAGTCAGTCTGGTGATAAAAGCATTTTCACTGTAGTAATGTTTTGAATTCAAGATAAACAGGCCTGATCTGATTTGTCGTGTTTCCTGGGGCAAAGTTCAAGGCATTATTCGTATGATAATACAGGTAGTGCCACAGATTGCTTTATTTCATTTGTTTCAAAGATTACGTGTACGTGTAGGCTTTTCAGAGAGATGCCCCCAACACTCACAGTCCTCGTTACCCTTCTTGAATTCTGCGAATGGTGGAAATTCAGTCCCTTCTTGAAGGATTGCTACGTATCTTTCGGCAGCTTCTTGTTCAACATGGAGATATTTCTTATTGTCCTTCTTGAGATGCCTGGCTTTCTTCAAGCACTGTATAGGAAAATACACACACCTCATCTGGAGGGATTTAATTTAGCAAAAGGTAGGAGTTACTACCTCTGTTTACTGTTGCCTAAAACAGATGTTCAAGTCCTTTTGTGCGTTTGGTTCCAAGAGTCCAGTTAGCCTTAAAGTGAATTTTAGCCAATAATGAACATGGCCTGAAATCTGTCAGAAGTCTGTCTGTGTTACAAGGTAGAGTCCACCCAGTGGTTGCCACTAAATACTGAGGAGAGGTTACTGGGCTTTATGACTTTATTGGGGCTTCCATGAGTCAAAGTGTGGAAGATGGAAGATGCCAGTGCACCTTTGTGGTGCATTGTAGCTGTGGGATGGGGCTGACTCCTTTGAAGGAGTGCCAAGAGTCAGCTGGGATCAGGGGTCTGTCTTAGTTGGGTGAGCCCAAGTACAGTGTTTAAGTTAATATTCCAGTACCATTTTTCAAGCAATGTCATGATGACATTCCCAGTGAAGGACTTTCCAAAAGCAATATCAATGTCTTCTCTTTTTTTTCTTTTTCTTTTCTTGTTTTAGCTCTTCATGTTTTTGTAATAAATTGATACTTTCTGTTATGACAAGCATAATTTCAGTCTCTGTTGAACTAGTCTGCACAAATAATTTTGTGTAATCTGGAACAGTTGTCTGCCTTGTGTTCTTATCATTAGATACAGTGAGCTGCTTCCTCAGTGTTTGTTCACTGATTTACTAATGGATAATTCCAAGTTAAACCTGACGTTGGCATGGGTTAATAGGACTGAACTATAAAATGTAATATAGCTGGTGGAATACAGAACTTTCTTTTATCTTTCATATAAATTATACATGAGGTGTCCAAGTCAGACATCAGAAATACTCACTGTTAAAGTAAAAAGTGCATGCATTTCAAATTAGAATTTGCACGTTATTCTGATTTCTGTTTTTTCTGCCCTAGGCCAGAACCATGATAGCGGTTGGACTTGGTGTTGCAACTGTTGCATTTGCAGGTAAGTTAAATTACCAGCTGAGAGTGGAACTGCTGCATGTCAGCTGCTGTTTCCAAAAGGGTTAATGGAGTTTTTATGAATTTAAATAGTGGAAAGGTGCTTGAGAGTACTGTGGAGAATTGTGTTCAGTTGTAGGACCTGTCCCTTCAAAATCCGTGACATATTTCCTAAAATACTTTTTGAAAAGTTGCAGCTGGAGAAACTAGTTTTATGGGCAGCAGCTAAAAGGTTCAGTCTACAAAGTGTGATGTGGAAAGTTTTACTTTTTTTTTACTTAATAGCATGTTCCAAGGTGGGGGCTCTTTATTACAGAAGAGTATGACAGAATCGTGTGATGTGAAGGTGATGCTTGACAAATTCGACTAGAGAAAAATAGAAGGTGTTAGTGGCTACAGTGATTTATCTTATTAAACTGTTCCCATAGTACTTTTTTTGTTACCTGAACTCTTTGCATCTGGCCTGTATGTTCTTCTGAAAAATGGGTTCTAGTCTGAATACAGGGCATGGTCTTAACATGGTCTTACGCTCTGGGTTACACAGACTAGGTAGCAATAACCTGTTCTGGTTTTGAAATACACAAATCGAATTTCCATCATTTTCAGTGTATAAAAGCAGCCATGGTCAGCTGTGTGCAACTGCACACACCAAGCACAGATGCAATAGACTAACAGGTTGCACCAAACTTCAGCAGGTGTTTGGTGGGTACAGCTATTTTATTTTTTTGATTAGGGGAAGAAAAGACAAGATCTTTGATGTAGACCTGTTAAGCAGTTGGTTTATCTGTGTGTGTGTGTGAGCAGAAGAGGAATGCTCTTAAAATTTCTTCTGCTGGTTGGGCTGCAGAATTAATAACAGCTAGCACAGAGCAGAAAGCATTAAGAAGGCAGAGAAGTAGTACATTACTACAGCACAGCATTTCAGCAGTGATATTAACAGGGATTTTAACTTCTGTGTTAACAGAAGGTACAGACTTAGACGACTACAAGGACCTATGGACACGTTGCATATTTTGAAAATGAAATCAAGATGCTATTTGAATGAAGCAGAGCGACATGTTTTGAAACATTTTTCCATTGTGTGTAATTGTAAAGTTACATTACTAATGAATAGTTAATCAAAACAGTAATTGGGGAGAGAGCCCTTACAGGGAAAATCCTCTAGTAACATCACAGAGATCGTGATTCTGAAGTTGATAGACCTGCTTTGTACTTCTAGGAACACAGTCTAATAGAGTTCCCTCTAGCCTTTCCTAGCTGTAGACATTCACTGCTGGTGGGGAGGGGAATGGCTCTGAATCCCAGAAGATCCTCTTTTTGTAACAAAATAAAAAATGCAGTACTTACAAAATATGTGATTAAGCATACAACATCACAGCAAGAAACACGTACTACATAGATTTCTTTTTTGAAGCTATAACCTTTGAACAGTATTTTATAAATAATTTATATCTGAAGCTAATGTTTCATATTGCCCTTTTTCTTAAAGTTCAGAAGGCAGATATCTTCATTTATCATATTGAAATGCATTTAAATCTATTTATTTTGTGAGCAAACACAATGGATCTTTGCAGTCCATGACTGTGTTTTCAGATGAAGTATATTAAATTCTTCTCCTTCCTCCCCCAGTAGTACAAAGATTGGAAAATGTAAACCATAGCAAATTCACTGTGGGACTTTGGCTGGGAAGAATCCAAAAATGGCTGTTGAGGGAACATCTTGAAAAGCAGTAAAGTGCAGCAGTAACCATACAGCAAGTATATGAGACAAAAGATTGATAAGGAAGGATTTTTATTTTTTTATTATTTTTTAAACAAAAATTCTGATGTAAGCTGATGAACATAAGTTGGAGACTTTTTTTTTTTTCCCTTCCTTTTACTGACTGTTGGCTGTAATTTCATTAAACTTCTATCTTTTTCAGGTCGTTATGCTTTCCGCCTTTGGAAACCATTGGAGCAGGCAATTACAGAGACAGCAAAGAGGATTTCAACTTCTGTAAGTGTAGAGGTTACTTTATGCTAAATTTATGTTTTTTTATTTTCAAGAATTTAGAAAGGAGACATTTTATGTCAAATATGGTAAGTGCCAGTTAGATTATTTTTTTTCCAGGTCACTCCTTCCTATGTATGTTGTGGTGTAATATCTGGTATATTTTAAATAACCATATGTCAGAAGATGTTTGTGAGTTTGATAAACAGTTCTGATTTTCCTGGTAACGTTCCATGTTTCAGAACTCCTTGCTAGTAAGTACATGATAAATTGTTGAAGTGCACTGTAAGAAAATAGCTAATTCCTAGAGATTACAAAGTGATGACATGCAGTTTCATTTCAAGAAGCTGAAAATGAAAGAATTCAATCAGATACAGTGTTAAAAATCAGGAAGACAAATTGATAAACTTCTAGGAAAGGTTGCCATAGAGATAGGGGACCTTGTTTTCTTGTTCACATGTGGGTTGTCATTTTCTTTCTTGCCCACATAATTTGAACTTTTAACCAAGGTTTTGTTCTTTGTTTTGCCATACATATTTAAAAATGCAATAATGAGGCAATCAAGAGATAGAGTGTAGTGAGAGGAGTATATGTAGGGAATATTTGAGGGCATTTACTTTTCGCTTCAATGGCTATACTATACTCTAGTGAATAAGTAAATATGTTCCATTCCTGGTTGATTAAAGTAATTCCCAATGAGGTAGATGTCTGCTTGTGACAGTGCATTCTTTCAGAGTTCATAGTCTGTGAATACCTATCCACAGTGGAAGGAATACAGTGCCCATCTTGATGCTGATGGGTGAAGGTGTTGACGGAGTAGTTGTTGCAGATTTTTATTTCCTGAAAAATATATTGACGATAACTTGTTTTTTTTTAAAGTGGTTATTAGAATTGTATCTATTTATGTGGGGCCAGCTGCAACGCAGAACTTGTCTGTATACTGCATATGCAGTATATAGACAAGATGCTAGGGTCCAAATTCATTCGTCAATCTGGACTTTGTGTTCATGTGCTGTAGCTGCAAGCTTGATCAATGCAAGCTTTCTGGGGAGAGAAAGGCTCGAAACACGGGCTGTCCTCTTGGGGCTGGTCCATGCTTGTTCTTAATTGCGATGTCTGTCAGCCAGAAATGGTGCTCCTGGATCAGTTTTTACTCTCTGTCCCTCTATTGCATTGCAGTTGTGAGACCAACACCAATTTATTTTTTTTTTTCCAGTGATTTTTTGAGTGATTCACAAGTTACCTGCCAAAACAGCAGAGGGAACTTTAGGTTCTGCAAATGAAATTGCTTTCCTATGCTGTGGATACAGTCTGACTTGCAGGCTTGCTTAGAAGTAGCTAGCAGTAAGGACATGTGGCTTCAGAGTAGGCAGTGCTTCACCCTCCCTCCTTAGCAGTTTTACTCCAGCATTTCTTCATCTATCCATTTGTCGATACAGGCTAGAGAATCTAAATTCAGACATGTTCACATAAGAAAGCAGGCACTGACTCTTTTTAGCACATTGAAGTATGACATGGTACTGCACAGAGAGGTGTCTGTTCCTAGGAAACTGTACCCCTCAGTAACTGGTATCGTAGCTGAGCCAAGCTCATTATAGGCCTATCTCATTTTTACCACAGTGACTTTCAGAGTCCTTCAGAATTCATGAACAACCATAAAGAGCAACCCAGGAGCTTCTGCATTCTCAATTTTCCTAGTCCCTGGAGCTGCATCTTCTGTCTGCTTTTGCATCCTGTCTTACAGCCCAGAATTGTATGTGGATCTCCAGTACAATATCTCTCTTATTCTATTTCTGAACTTGAAAACAGAAGTTTTCAGTGTAACGTGAGATCTGCTAAAGACAGTAAAAACTCTCGGTTCTGGTTTGCTATTAACTGTATGTATTTGTCAGCTTTACATTTGTAAGGGTAATGATAATGATTTTCTTCTACAATCATAATCCAAATTTAAGACTCTTTTGTAATTCTCAACCAAGATTATTTGTTCTTTACTACTTTACAGCTACTACTTTCTTAGATTGCATTTTTTGCCAAGGTTTTTTTTTTGTTTCCCCTTAACAATCAATTATTACCTATTTATAATTTTTCTTTAAAACAGTGGACAAAATAGTAGGTACAAAGATCCTGTGTAAGTGCTTATTGTCCAAACTTCTTATTTTAGTGGCTTTATTTGATTTTGTTTGGGGAATTTGAAGCTGCTGAGTATGATCTGTGGATTAGCACCTTCATCAAGTTTCTTTACACATATTGCCCTCTAAAATATGCCAAGAATGGAAACCAAGCAGTTTGTGCTTCTACCTGTGCTTACTGGAAAAAGGATCTCATGTAAAGTTTAGTGTCTAGGCTTAGTGTTACTTTGCTGGTTTCCTGTGGTGTTTGGAGACACCTAACTTAGCCACTATATTTTTCAGTGGTTACTTTAGCTTTCTAGAAGCAATCTCTGTCCCTTATCACCTCCTTTTTTTTTTCTTTTTTTTTTTTTTGAAAGACTGTGAAGCAGCTGCTTATTTAAAAGCTAGGTTGTTCTCTTTGTAAGCCCCCACTCTTCCTCCCCCCATTGTCAATTCTCTCCTCTCTGTTGCCATTTGCAATAGGAATCACAGTTTGTGTTGGTTGCAGTCACACAAAGTAATCCAGATGCTGTTTATCCTTTCTTCCTGCTCACTAATAAATGACTTGGGTAAGGTCAAGTTGAGCAATTATGAAGTGAATTGTTTAAAATGCTTCCTTGCTGTATCTTGAGTATTTGACACTCTCTATTTACTTAGCTAAGTAAATAACATGTACAGTCAACAACCGCACTCATGTTTTAGTCAAAAACAGTAAGTAAATGCAAGTAAAAGTGTTATGTTTTATTCTGAATTTCTACCTCTCATTTAACTTGAACTTATGACACTTAAATATATATTCTTAAATATGAAGTGTAAATGCTGCTGTAATTTAGTCCTGAAGTTTCCTACCATCTATTTTTTTTCAGTGGAGAAAGGCGTAGAATGAAACATTGTCGTTTCCTTTCTATGACAAGTCATAATGCTCGTTTCCAGAGAAATGCTTTTTTAGTTTGAGCCCAGTTTTGTTACTGGTGTCACAAATGCTAGTGACACTGTTTTGTTTCTGTCTGCAGTGACAAGAGTCTGTTGCCAGGAGAAGGTTCAGAGTGCCAAGTAGTCACTTGGCTTTTCTTCCTGTCGTGGTTTGGCCCCTCAAACCAGGACACTCAGACATTAATACTGTTAATTATGTTACTATTTTCTTAAAATGTGAAATTAAAAAAAGGAAATATTTCAGTAGCATTCATTACCTTTCATTGTTGCATTGTTGATATTGAAGGTTGAAAGACAGAAGACATCAAAGATAGAAACAGCAATTCTAGGCAAAATGAAGTCAAAATACGCAAATCTCACAATCCTGAAAATTCTGTGTTCCAGAAGAAAAGTATCTCTTCTATAGCACTTTATCAGAGAATTTTTGCTCTCTTTCCCTTACTGGATCTGATTCTGCTCAGAATCAAGAGTTCTGAATTGAGACGGTAAGGGTAGTGACCATCTCTCTTGTCCCTCATTGAAAATAAAAATTCCAGAGAATAATGCAATTTGCAGTCCATTTTATAATTTTTTTCTAACTAAAGTTAAGGAAGTTAAAGTTGATCTTAGTAAATTATAGGTTATATTATAACACAGCTTCTAAATAGTTTGTTATTGGAATATTTTTTTTCTTCCTGTATTGTATGTACTTTTTTTTTCTTATTTTTTTTTTCTTCTTTTCTGTGGAGAACTGTATTGGTGGTGACACAACACATAGACTTCACTGCTTCATATAATGTGATATATGGCCTCAATTATGGCTCTTTGAATATCTCTTACCTGGCATGGAAACAATGATGATGCTTTCTCTGTGCTATGCCAGGAGAAGCATCTTGAAGATATTTCGGTCCAAATGGATTGGATTTTCTTAGCTGACTGCTTTTGTGAAAACTTGTGAGTGAATAGACATTTGCAGGGCAAATACAGTCATTTTCTGTTCCCTTCACCCCAAACCTATTCACAGCATTTGTACAGGAACAGAATTTGCTTACATAAGTTGCTAAACAGTAATGCAAGGGCATGAAGGAAATGCAAGGAAATGAAGTAAATTAAACGATAGCCACTCCCCACACGCCAAATAGTATGAAGAAATGGAGAAATAATTTAGGTGATTTTTTTCCAATAAAGAATTTGTTTGCAAAAGTCGTAGCTAATAAATAATCAAGTGTTTAGAGCTGCCCACTCATTGAGGTCTTGTAACAGAAAAATACCGTGAGTATTGTTCCATTTCATTGCAGCCATTACTTAGAATTTAAAACTAAGGGGGAAAAAATGCTTTAATTTGAACAGCATGCAAAAGTTCTTTCATTAGGAAATATCTTGGCAAATTTCTAGTTTCCTAAAATGAGGACTCGGTGTTTCTTCATCTTACTCTAACCAATGGGGAAAATGGATTTTATGTCTAATTTCCTTTTGCTTTAAGTTCTGTTTAAGATCAAGATTTTAATTTAAGAATTGATTATTCTTGCTACGTGCTTCACTTCTGAGAAGAAAATGTTTTTTCTTGATGAGCGATTCAACAAACTGGTTTTGCTTTTATGCCAAAGGACATAGACAACAGAATTTCTTTTTTCATTCCTCTTGGAAGTGAACTGAATCAAGGCTTCCTGGGGTTAGAACAGTGTCAAGGAAGTAGGCTTTAAAAACATGAGAAAGTATTTCTGAATTTAAGCCTATAGCCGTACCTCCCTGTTCTCTTATTTCAAATAGTATTTTAAATGAAATCTAGTGAGAACAGAGACCAGCTGTGTTAGAGGTAATTTAAATACTGCTCTTCTCTAAATGAGTAGCGAACCAGTGTCCTCCTGTATTAAAGTTTTATGCCAGAGTTGAAGGGCAGAGAAGAATTAACCTTTTTAGGACTCCATCTGCACCTAAGCTGCTTTGGGAGAAGTTCGGGAAGATCTTTCAGAGGACATTAAAGTCTGCTTTTCTCTCCTGGCTGTAGTAATTATTCAGCATCGTTGCAAATTTCTGTGCAGTTCTGCCTCCTCAAGGGTGTTATCTGGTAGCCATTAAATCATTAGCACAATTTCCTCTCGGAGGACTAGAGAAACCCTGTGTGCTCCCTTAGTATTACATGATCTAACCTCTAATGTTGATGTGCACCATCACTGACCTGCTTTGTGTTAACCTGTAGCTTCAGCAGCAGTTCCTCAACAGATTTTTGTTGCAGGCACGACTGGGCCACCGTTGCTTCAGCTTTTATACACGAAATAACCACTACTGTAATGCTACCAGGTATGGTTTGGGATGGGAAGAAAGATAAAATTAGTTTTGGACCACAGTAGAAGACCAAAAAAATCTTTTCCGTGGTTTTGTGTGACTTCATGTTAGCAATAGGTGAAGTATTTCTGAACCATGCTTTTGGGTGAGTGTCACTTCTAAGCTTAAAGGCTTTGCTTAGATATCATAGACAGAGCCCTTTAAATGCTCTAATGGTTTTGAAATTGCTTAAGAGAGAGTCTGTGTAAACATAAGGCAAAATTTTCACTGAATATGAATGCATATATTTAGTGAGAAAAGTGTTTTATTAAGGGCCAGGCACAGTTTTACTTGGGGGAAAAGGAACACTTAAAAATAATCTCAAGTCTCGGGCCAGACTTCCCTTTGATAGCAACAAAAGAAGCTTTTTTTTTCCCCCCAGTTGATAGGTTTGGCATTGAGGAAGGAAACTTCACTCTCGTTGAGTGATTTCTCTGTGCCAGTTCCCAAAGGCAGCTTGTCTTGGAGCTACATCTGCTGCCTCTGGGACTTGTGCAGCTTAGGCTATTATTTGTGTAGCAATGGGATAGTCCTTAGTTCTTCTTATAGACACATTTACATTGATCATTACTAGCCATCTGTGGTGGTTCAGTAACTTTTCTTTTTTAAAAAATTAAAAATATATTTATGGTTGACAAATACACTTTCAATGCATTCCCTATGACAATTAATTGTTGTAATGATTTACTCTCGTTGCCATCTTCTTTTTAATGTTCTTTTCCCATGTGTGTTTTTTCTCCCCTTCTTAAAACAGCAGCTAAAGTCTCATGTGGCAATGAGTTTAAAAAAACTAACCCCAGATCCTCTATCTGATCATCATCAGTCATTGGTATCTATGGAAGGATGTAAAGGCGAAAATTGGTTGGGATTTCCCCATATACTCTGCTACTTTCCATTGTTCTGCAGCTCGGTGATTTCCTGAAATAGAGGTTGTGGCTCTATGCTAAGCCTTTTTTTTGTTTGTTTGTTTCTTTTGATTTATTTTTTCAGAGTTCCTTCAAAGAATTCCTGATACACTTCTTTTGAAGTAACATTTCTTCATGTGAAAAAGCATATTGACTCTTCATCAGTACATTACATTTATCTGTTCTTATCCTTCTATTGTTGTTTTTACGTACTATCTTTGTATAAATATTTGGACTTTAGAGTGATTGTCCCTAATTCCTTGGATGCCATAGTATTTTGACTTTTGCTGTTTTCCATTGTGGTGGTACAGCAGTTCTAAACAAGTTTCCCCCTTTCCCTCCCCTGCTCTCCCCAACACACACACACCCTGTACCACTCTATGCTAGTATGTACTTTGATTCTGGACTCTTTTGCCTGAAGGCAGGATTTTAATGGTTGGAGCTATTAATATCTCTTATTACAAGTAGAAGATTATAAAAACACAGATAGTTATTTTTAAGTCAGTTTTTGTATGTATTAATACTCAGGAGAAGTCCTTTCATAGTATCTGGTTTGTAGTCATTCCATGCCTTCGAAATAAATTATAGATGAATGTAAAGCTCTGAATGAGGTCATATATATATACGATTTAGGTCCTGGCACCTTGTACATTAAACTAATTATTGCTTGTTATCCATTTCTTCTTTTTAGAGTCTTTCATTGCACTATAAAGGAGGATTTGAACAGAAAATGAGTAGGCGAGAAGCTAGTCTTATTTTAGGTGTAAGGTAGGTATGTTGCATTAGTGTGTTTTTGTTTGGTAAGTATTGAATGAAAAAAAATGCATGTTGTGAGAATGTGGAATACGCTTGCTAAAATCGTAACTTTTTTTTTAAAAGACTTCTAATGGCTTATAAACCATTCTAATATTCTGCTTAAGCTAAAAAGCAAACAGTAAAATGCTAATAAAGCATGCAACTTGTGTTTGGCTTGAAGGCATGGTAACATATTGCAGTGGAGAATTGGTGCTCTAGAAATAATCAGAATAGCACATACTGTGCTAATTAGCACCATCACGTGGCCTGGTCTCCAAAAAACCCCTTGAGATAAGTAATAGTGTAGATTATATTAATAAATAAGGAAAACAAATCATTTTTGCTCATTTTTTCCATAAGTCAGTAATATTATTTTTTTTCTTTATCCACTCTGATTTGTTTGGATTTTAAAAATTGCAATGTATTCCAAACAAAAGTACTTGGAGACACTTATCATTTTGAGTAGGTATGGGAAGTAATTTCCAGGCTGAGTATTCAATGGATTTTTTCAAAAACATTTGGATGGCCGATGGTAGCACGTACCTTTAGTGTTTTCTGTAAAGCTGGCCATGAGTTTGAGGGCTTTCCAGATGAGAGGAGCAGAGCTGACCTTAAGTAGTATACTTCTTATTTATGCTTTAGATCAGTTCTGAATTTTAAGGTTGAAAAAAAGGAAAGGAGGATGGTTTTAATTATCCTCAGAAGAAGTTATTTCAGATAGTGAAAATAGGTGAAATAAAATCCAGTTTTTGGTGTGGTATTTGTGTTTACTTCCTAACATAATGGAAATTATGCAGATTTAGCATTCATTGTAAGAAATGGTAAAATAAAACATTACATTTATTTGAAATATTTCATGCTTGCATGTTGAAGAAGAGATCTGTAGGAATGGTTTTCAGAAATAGTTCCTTTGGCCTTCAAGTTTGATAATGGTTTAACATTTTCCCTTTATAAGGGCAAATTCAGTGCTATTCCAGAGCAGCACACTGCAGCCTATTAAAGTGTGTTTACAGTGGCAATGTCTTGCCTGAACACTGCTCATCTACAAGGCTGAAGTTTCATCACATCTGAAATCAGTCCCCTTTAATTTTTAATTTTAATACTTTGAGTCTGCACTGGGAACAGTGAGACTGAGTCTTGCAAATATCAAAACTTAATCAGACTTGAGGAAAGTTCTTCCTAATGTTTAAAGGATTGGGCCTTTAATTGTGTAGAAGCATGGCTAACATCATTATTGGAAATTTTCACATTGTTAAAAAACACTTTTCTAGACCAATTTTAACTCACTGCTTATTGTATTATTTTATATATATATATATATATATGCCACCAAAAAAAAACCAAGTGGGTTTTGAAGTGTTAAGGAAAATGCCAGGGTATACACAAATATGCAAACTAGATCTGTCTAGGCCATGATCTTATTATTGTAACACTTGTCCTCTGTGTCATCACTTCCAAGTCATATTAAATTTTGAGGCGAAGACTTTCTTCATTATTTCAAGTGCTGAGTATGCACAGTATAAATAATAAATAATAAATACGAGCCATGATAAAGGTGAGCATTTAATGGTAGCTTTTAAATTTCAAATATATTGGCCCATTACACATTCCAAATGTTACTCTTTAATAACCATCTTGTAAGATTGCAAGGGGTTTGGTAGAAACATGCATGTGCATTATTTTTATTTAAACTATCTAAAAGGTGTCCAAAGCTACAAAGCACTGTATTGAAAATATTGACTAATTTTAAGTTTTATTGTTCTTGCATTAGTTGTTACGCAGCAGCACTGATTACTGAAATTCGGTATGAACATCGCAATAATGTTAATAATGGTTTACTCTGTTAGAAGGAACTGCTGAGGGGAGAGATGGGGCAATGTCTGAAATGACACGGGAGGTGGAAATCTTAAGAACTTGTTTTCCAAACATGAGACAAAACAGATGCTAGCAAAATATAGCTGTCCTAAGTATAACTGGTTACAGCTCTCATATCCCTAACACTGAACTTCTGAAGTTAGAGAATGTATGAAAATCGTAAGTTAAGATCCTAAATAAAAATGAATAAAATTTTCTGTATTGTCCCTTTTCCTTCATGAAACTATTTCTTTCCAAATGAAATGTTTGTTTGTTAATGTACAAAATTATATATAAGCCTAAGTTAAATTTTAATCGTTATTCTTAAAACATAAATGACAAAAAAATTAGACTCAAGTTGGGAGGGACTGCAAGGGGTCTTTAGTTGTACCTGCTGCTCAAAGCAGGACCACCTATGGAGTCAGAGCAAGTTGCTCAGAACTTTATTCCATGGGTCTTGAAAGACTCCCAAGGATGGAGAATGCTCATCCTCTCTGGGTAACCTGTGTCACTGCTGGACTGTCTTTGGGGTGAAATGGAATTATCTCCAGCCTGCACCTCCCTTTTCAATTTGTGCCCGCTTTTCCTCAACCTCCCACCATACATGACTGTGGAGAGCCTGGACCCATATTCTTTATGACCTCTCTGGGGATGCTAGGACCTGTTGTGAGGTCCCCCAGCAGCCCTCCCTTCTCCAGGCTGAACAAGCCCTACTCCCTCAGCCTCTCCTCAAAGGATGAGTGCTCCAGCCGCTCCTGGTGGTCTTTGGTGGACCTGGTGCGGTTGGCCACTGTCTTTTCTGCACAGAGGCCCCAGAACTGGATGCAACAGCTAGATGTGGTTGGCCGAGTAGAGAACAGCTGCTTCTGTTGACCGAGTGACCGCGCTGCCATTCACGCAGCTCACCAGGCTGATGTCCTCTGCTACCAGGGCACGCTGCTGGCTCTTGTTCTTGCTGTGTCATGGGTCCCCTTCAGCAGAGCTGCTCCCCAGCCCCACAGTCCTCAGCCTGTAGCACTGTGAGGGGCTCTTCCTTCCAGGTGCTGCTCTCTGCCTCTGTTCCTGTTGAATTTTGTGAAGGATCCTTGTCAGCCCATTGCTACAGCCTCTCCAGGTCCCCCTGACCTCCAGCGTTTTGACTGTTCCCACCAAGATGATAGACTTTTCAATCAGAAGAAAGTCGGTGATGTCAGAAGGCAGCATGATGTTGTAACATCAGCCAGAATGTGATTTTGACATTAAAGGGTCTTTTGGTAGTGATTTAGAGTCTTTAGAGACCAGTCTGGCTGTGGGATAAGCAGTATCTCATAAACTAAGCAAATTTGACGTAAAACACCAGTTTCACAGTTGCTTCTTGGAGCAGAACTGTATGATTTTCCATAATATGCAACTGCGGCTTTTCCACAGTTACGCTTTGGCCATCTGAGTTTCTAAATGTGGTATATCAACTTCCCTCTGTTATTATTAAACAACAGCTTTGCAAATCAAAATATAGCTGATGGGGTTTTTTAGCTGTCTAATAAGAAATTGTTTCATTTTTGAATTTATATAGTTAAAGGCCTTTCATCTTCCATTTAATTCTTACTTTCTGGGTTACTGAAGTATTCTTTTCTTAGGCAGTTCTAGGAACTATTTTTGCAACGTACCCTAATTTCCCCGTGACAGAATAATAATTAGAGATTGTTTACCTCGGTAATGTAGTTCGGCTGATACCTTGCATTCAGACCATATCTACAAAAGGATTAATTAATTGAATCATCACTGATTAAGAAGTCACCTGAAGTGGAAAACACTGCTTCATTTCTGCATGGTAACAAATTATGAAAAACTAAACCATTCAAACTGTCCTTTTGCATACGATAGTTTTACTGTCTTGGCATCCTGCATCCATAAGTGGTCATTTGTCTGGTAAGGTACATATTTAATTTAGGCCAAGTACATTGGAGTTCAATGTCATTGAAGGCAACGACATTATGTAGCACTTGTAAATCAGCGTGTCCCTTGCATGTAATACATTGTACAGCTTTGCAAAAATAACAAATACAAGGGTTTTTTCATGCCTCAGCAGAAAGAAGAATTACTTATAGCAGCTATGAAAATATTAACAGTAGAATATAATGTGATAATATGAAATATTTCGGTTTTTCTTGCTGGTTATATAAATATTTATTTTCTAGGAGGAAAAAATGTGTTTGGTGTTTAATGATAAGAATATCCACCTAGATACGCTCTAGAACTGCTGGGTGGTTTTGACTGTTTTGATATTTTTTTTCTAAATTTTTTATTGTAAATGAATGGACAAATTACATTAAAAAAAATTTAAAAACAACGAAACAACCTGAAAGATATTTATATGTCTCAAGTACACAGGCTTTTTAAAAATGTCTTTCTTGGTGTGTCTTACATGCCTTTGTTATTGTTACTTCCTCAGAGATGCAGTTTTATGTTTTGTCCACAAGATGGTGAAAATCTCAAGTTTTAATTATTTTTGAAGCCAGTGTAAACTGTTAATTTATAGCCTGAGCGCAGTGGCATTTATGGTAAGCACTTCAATTTATTTTTGCAGTCCGTCTGCTGGCAAGGCCAAAATCAGAACAGCCCATAGAAGAATCATGATTTTGAATCATCCTGATAAAGGTAAATAATTCTTATTTTTCTTAACCAAGGCTGGAAAGGAAGGGTTTAAATGAGATCCGTTAAGTTTACTGATTATATAAATAACCAGACTGAGTGCAAATGTATGTTGTTTATTTATAGACTTGAGCTTCTGTGTGTCTTCTCTCAGATAAACTAGGCTTTATGAACCACAGTTCTACCCATCTTTCTTTAAGGTTGTTTATTCTAGACTTGTGCTGCTTCAGTTAAAGGTGTGAGCTCAGGGATCAGGGCTCCACACTTTAAAAAGACCTTACTCAAAAATAAGAAAAAATGAACTATGAGATTTTTATATTAAACTGAGATTCCTATTTTGAACTGAGATGGACCAGTCACGTGTATGAAAGTAGCTTTCTGTGGGAAATGCTCTGCAGTCACTGGGTACATCATTGACCAGTTTCAGACTTCCTGGAATCCACTTGGAGAAAACGTAAAGCTGGGCATTGTTGCTTCACTGGCCAGGTTTTTAATGTGAATTTATCTTACAGAAAGGCTATTATTATAACTTTAACTACACTACAGCTGGTTGAGAAAGAAAGCCCATATGTTCATTGCTGTTTCTACTTTAAAATAACAGATGGTGAAGAGTTGCACTGTATTTCAGAAGTCAAAAGGGGAAATGGGCGGGTTTTTATATCTTTTTGACAGAATTACAGGGCTCCCTGCCAGCACCCCAATTTAAGAAAATGAAGAAATAACTGTGACCACTGACTCTGGAAAGTGTTTAGTTGATGCTTTTCTTTGTTGCCTTCACCCCTCAGTTTAGTTCTAAAGTTGTCCTGCTTATTCAATTTCATGCTTACATTTTTTACATGTTTTTTAGCTGTGCACACGTAGAAAAAGAAATTCTCTTCTGCATTTCTAATATATTATGATGGTCAGAGGCCTCTTAACCACTAGAGTACCTATTAGGTCAAAATTTTTTGATAATGAACTTCTGAATTTACTGTAGCAGTAACTTAGAGATGTGAACCAGAATCATGGATCTCTGTGGGGACGTTGAGTAGACCTAAAGAGGCAGTTCCTGTTAGGGAGATCGTACATTTTAACGACCCACGCTTAGAGCTGTAATGCACCTGCAGCTGGGCGCAGCGTAGGGCTGGATGGATGTAGTGAGCCCCCCTGTGTGCTATTAAGATGGAGCATTTTCTCAGTAGGAGCACCAGTTGGAAGGGATTTGTGCCTCTGTGCTGCCCCTGCAGCTCTTCTGGCACGGCCCTGGAAAAAAATATCTTGTGTAATGTCTTAAGCTGCAGAGCTGGAGCCTGGAGTAATCTTGAACACGTGGCATCACAGGGAGACTTGTTTGCTTGTGTATATATTGTGGTTTCTTCAGATGTGGTTTTAAAAATAACATTCAACGTTAGAATGTTATTTTAAAATAATATTTTTACCAGCTGGAGTTGATAGAAGAAAGGCAACAATTCCAGATCTAAAGTTACATACATTATCTGAGATCCAAAATGTCAAGGGAAGAATTAGTAGAAATAAATAAGAAATACGTAGAAGTTTGCATAATGACTCCCCCAGTAAACACTACTAAAATGGTTGCTTATTAACCTTTACACTTCACTTTTAAAGTGTTTTTGTATTGATACATTGTGTGTTACCTTATCAGTTACTAATTTTATGAAAGAATATTTGCTGACAGAAAAAAAGAGGAGGAGAAGCCTTTTGGACTTGCCCTAATTATAAACAAACACTTAGGCAATCATGAGATTGAATTTTCTCTCATTGGAGGGCTACAAAATTAATATGGCACTTAAGGATGTAAATGTAGTGAAAACACTTCTAGCAGATTTGAATTTACTTTAAGATCTTGCACTCTAGACAGGTAGAAAATCAATGCACATTTAAAAATTACTCGGGATGCATTGTTTATTGCAGTTTTTAGTCTTTACTGTTTGTTTGATCCTCTTGTCTACTCTTTGAAAGAAGCAATAGGTAAATCCTATTCCTGACTAAAAAGCCAATTGATTTAAAAAAAGAAAATAATTTGTTTTTCCAGTAGCCAGTTCTTTACCCTTCCCCTGCCCTGCCTCACTTTTTCTCTGATGTGTCTTACCTATTAAGGCTACATTCAAACAAACCAAGGACATGAGCAAGAGAACTTCATTCCTTTTCCCAGTTATTTTATTACACCATGAAATGACTTCATAATGATGTGGATTCCTGCAGGAATGCCCTAAAGAAGTCTTTAAGCAATCCTTGCCACGTGTATCTACAACTAGTTCTGCGTGTTTCTTCTATCATTGTCTTTTCTGATAAACGGAATAGAATTGAATGAATGGAATGATGAATGGAAAATTATGATTGAACAGATGCCTTAGGAAAGGTTATTCAGTGCACAATACTGCTGTAATTGTATTTTCATGCAAAAAAAAATATATAGGTGTGTTGCAGTAGGTGGTAAGTTACTGATACAGACCTTGTAATGTTGTTTTTGGTGACTGTAGGCAGATGGTTGGCACTCGAGGGGAGAGTAAAAAAAACAAACACAAAAAGAGCGCTGAACTGTAATCGGATTGTTAGATGGAGCGTAAAGCAATGACAGTGTTCAGGACTAGAAGTTAGAAGGCAAACCATGTTTAAATAGCTTTAATGTGATGGTTTCTGGCTGGTAATTCCAGGCGTCTAGCACAGGAGTGGCTGGGGGGGGGGGGGGGGGGGGGGGGGGTGG